ATGGCTTGAAGATTGCATATATCGGTTTGAATCAATTAAGTTTTAATTGTTGTGTCAAGAAACGAGGACAAAACCACAAAACTCTGAAAAACTAGTTTATAATAATAGAGAAAACGGAGGAATGACTAATTAAATAGTCCATCTGGCCTTCTCTTAACCCTTGTGTTGTGTTCAAAAGCTGTTACCGTTCACCAAAAAAATGACTATCATCCAATATTGTTTTAACTACATCATAACTAACTTAATATGCATTCATAACCGTACAATCCTGTTGTAATTTAATGTTATGGTCCAAAACACATTACACCACATATTGCACACGTGTATGTCTGTGTTCAGGTTCAAGGGAGGGGCGTCTAAAGTCAAAGATGAATCTTGATTGGGCCAAATTTGACCCCGAGTCACTCACAACAATTCTGCTGGGTCTCTCCAGACCCAACGCCAAATTATACACCTTTTGTTTTAGAGACCTTCAGACTTGGCAAAAAAGGTCAAAATCAGTTTTGTATTGTTGATATAGCTGCTGTGGAGGATATCATGAAGCCTCGTTCCGTTAAAAAAAACTAGAGCGTAGTTATTGTATAATTTTAACTTGAAACGGGTCACAGGAGACCCGAACACAACATAAGGGTTAATTTAAAAACGCAAAAATGAATAACGTGTCCCCTTTAAACAGTTTTGCATTTCTCACTCCCAGGTATACCATCTGCCACAAAACAGAAGTGGTGAAGAACAATCTGGATCCGGTGTGGCAGGCCTTCAAAATCCCTGTCAGAGCGCTGTGCAACGGAGACTATGACAGGTGCAGTACACAAACCCTTCACTGACAATACTTACTGACATTTCCTCTTAAAGGTGGGGTAGGTCATTCACTTCAGAAACACTTGTTGTTATATTCCATGGAATGCTCTTAGCATCCCGATAGCAATGAATATATTAAATGCTTTGACAATAAATACATAAAAAATTTCATCTGTGGAAGCCGTGGCGCTGTAAAAAGCACGACCAATCATCTGAGCCGGCCCGGCTAAAATAACTGGATGGCCTACCTGCCTGTCAGCCTTCCATCTGTGCACAAACTTATCTCGTGCCCTCATTGGTCATGTGCGCGTTCGTGTGTGTTGGAGGAGGGGCTCTGTAAGGAAGTCTGAAGGAAGAGGCAGATTTTTTCCGGCTGCGTACTTTCAAATTCTTTCGCACTCAAGCTGGTTTCTCCATTCTTACCTACCCTACCTTTAAGGAGCAGATACATGTAACTCATCGCTGAGTCTTTCTATTACAGATTTGAGGAATGGGCAGCTTTTGTGGCATAATTCTTATTATTTGTTTGATCTTTTTCCCATTATTTTCCTCTTTGCCTGTGTTACACCAGAGTATACTGATAACAACATTAAAAAAACTCCACTCTCTGCATTACGCAGGTTTTTCCTCTCGGGCACCCGGCCCTCCACGGACCAGTTACCAGCTTTTTAAGCAGAAAGACTGTATATCAGTGCTAATTGGATTTTTAATGGGATTTCTTTCCCTCCTCTTGTCTTTCCCTACAGGAGCATTAAGGTGGAGGTGTACGACTGGGACAGAGATGGAGGGTGAGGGAACAATGCTCTTTCGTTTGTACTCTTAAACTAAGATGGACCCCAAATTAAAAATCCTTTGTATCAATGTAGTTTTCTTTGGTGTGAGTTCACGAGTGTTGGAGATATTGGCTTCAAAGAGGTCTGCCTTATCTTTAATATAATCAAACTCGATGACGCTCTAGTTGTGATGCTCAAAGCTAAACATAACATGCTTTTGAAAAACTCAAAGCAATGTCTCTTTCTCAGAATCACACATACGAGGAATTTGACTTGATGTCATGCTGCAGACATAAAATATAAAACAAAGAATCTTTAAAGACACCGTAATAAAATATAGTTAAATAGCAATAAAAGAAAGCAGTAATTTACATGGAAATAGAATGCTATGGATGAATTATAAAATATGAAATATGAAACAAGAAATTCTAGAAATGATCTCACATTTAGTAAACATAATCCATAGACCCGTTCGCGAGCAGATTCATGTAGTAACTATTTTCTTTCTAGCGATTACACACATCAACAGCATCAATGTGCAGAGGGACTAATCATCATGATAAGAGGCCGTGACAGCATGAGAGATGTAACATTAATCACATGAGTTTGAACATTATCTAGCTCGGAAAGCCTCAAGCAATAAGTGCACTTTTTGTTAGTGCTGTGATTCGGTGATGGAGTAGTGTTGGTTGAAAAGAGACATAGTTCCTACACCCAAAGCTGATTCCACAGGCCCCATGCGAGCAGTACGTATTTAGGGTAAAAGGGGTCATGATTTCTTTAAACAGCAAGAAAGGCAGATATCTTTAAGCTGTGTATGGCTGATATACTCCGCATGAAGTCTGAGCAACTGGCTCCCCTCCCCTGCCTGGAAAAAGCCTGCCTGAGAAAGCCTTCATTGGACTCCCCTTTGTTACTCCTGAACACGCGTACCGCTTCCCTAATTGCCTAGTGCTCCCCGAACCACATTGTACGTGAGAGGCAANTCTTTAAAACAACAAGAAAGCAGACATCTTTACTTTATGGCTGATATCTCCATGAGTCTACAACTGCTCCCCTCCTGCCTGAAACGCCTTCATTGGACTCCTTTGTTTACTTCCTGAACACCTACGCTTCTATTGGCTAGCGCTCCAACACATTGTACGTGAGAGGCTAAGGGGCGGGACACGGCATCTATTGCACGTCTGTCCGCCCTGGGAGAGGGATCCCTCCTCTGTTGCTCTCCCTGAGGTTC